TCAGCCCAATCCCGCAGGCCAGGTTGAGGGACTCCACTGGTACACGAATTCATGCACCAGGCCTCTAGTTACATATAAGTATCTATAGCTCATAACACCTATGTACATATAAGGTGGGAACTGTTACAAAGTAACCTGAACAATTTTAGTGAAAAATCATTACTGAACTCAAACTTTAGCTGCAAGAGCTGACATGTATGTAGTTCAAGGTTGAGAAAGAAAAAAATCTGAAGCAATTTCCCTGAGGTCAGGAATTCTGTGCAGCAGAGATATGAACACTGTTCTGAACGGAATAAAATATTTGCAAACATTAACTCAGTGCATGCTTCAGGAACCCGCCAAACAATTTCTCTGAAGTCCAGCCCCACCAAGTATGTGGCGGTATCAGCATCCCATCAGCACATGTCACTCACATCTCTGGAGTCTTGGATTTGTTTTTCCCATTGAAAAACTCAGGAAGAGCACGCCGTTCAATCACGTGAATACTGGACAGAAAAGGAAAGAAGAGGACCGGGAGTAAGTACTCTCTGGAAAATAAAAATCTCAAAATGTGAGCTAAGCTTAAATTTCAAAGCAAAACTGTACGTCTAAAAGGTGAGCTGGCTTTGCACAGCTCCTGCGGATTCACAGTGTGTCAGAGTTAAGGAAAGCGCTCCCTCCTCACCCGAGTCCTTTCTGCAGTTTTTCCACTCCTATAAGCAAACTCAAAAAAGTGCTGTCAACCACTGAAAGCCACAGGCTTCACTCAGCGGTTGTCACACACACAGTGACTCAATGAGCGACGCGACAGAAAGAGCCCTTTGGAAGCTGGGTGACACAAATCACAGTAGCTGGCATGGCAACAAGCTGGTCAAATGAAGGCCAGGCCAGAGGACAACGGACTTCACGACAACCAGGCTCTCAGGCTCTTCACACACCTGCACCGTCCTGTCCAGCCCTCAGAAACATTGTGGTGAATTCAATTTTAAAAATTATTTGGGAGTTTACTGCTTTTAAAAAGATCATACAACCTTCATCTTTTTTATTTACTTATTTCATTGATCTATTGGGGTGACACTGGTTAACAGGAGTAGTTTTCAGGGGTACAATGCTCTATCTATACACTGTATTGTGTGTTCACCACCCCAAGTCAAGTCTCTTTCCATCACCATTCACCACCTCCTAACGTCTCCCATCTCCCACCACCCTCTGGAAGTCACATACTGCTGTCGTCTATGAGGTGTGTCTTTTGCTTAATCCCTGCCCCTTTTTCACCGCCCCCCGCCCCC